ACTCGACAACTTGCTATATCACACCTTTTAACATTTTCTAAAAAATATCACGTATCTCATCTACCTGAAATCTGAATTAATTATTTTTATTATTATTATTATTATTATTATTATTATTATTATTATTATTATTATTATTATTATTATTATTATTATTATTATTATTATTAGTATTATTATTATTATTATTATTATTATTATTATTATTATTATTATTATTATTATTATCATTATTATTATTATTATTATTATTATTATTATTATTATTATTATTATTATTATTATTATTATTATTATTATTATTATTATTATTATTATTATTGTTATTATTATTATTATTATTATTATTATTATTATTATTATTATTATTATTATTATTATTATTATATTATTATTATTATTATTATTATTATTATTATTATTATTATTATTATTATTATATTATTATTATTATTATTATTATTATTATTATTATTATTATTATTATTATTATTATTATTATTATTATTATTATTATTATTATTATATTATTATTATTATGATATATTATTATTATTATATTATTATTATTATTATTATTATTATTATTATTATTATTATTATTATTATTATTATTATTATTATTATTATTATTATATTATTATTATTATTATTATTATTATTATTAGTATTATTATTATTATTATTATTACCATTATTATTATTATTATTATTATTATTATTATTATTATTATTATTATTATTATTATTATTATTATTATTATTATTATTATTATTATTATTATTATTATTATTATTATTATTATCATTATTATTATTATTATTATTATTATTATTATTATTATTATTATTATTATTGTTATTATTGTTATTAATAAAGGGTTGGTAGTATAGGTTCATAATAGGCATATACCATACAATTATCTACGATATGTAAACAATAACTTTTTTAATCTAATTTTTACTGTCAAAAAAAATCTAAAGGTAATGTCTTCTATGAAAATAATCACACACATACAAGCCACACAGATATGCATGCATATAATTTCATATCCTATCACTTCCTTCATGTGTGTTTTTCATGTTATGGCAAATAAACTTAAATATTTATGCTTATGTTGTTGTTATTGGCCTAAACAGCAGAAATGTCAGATTTTGAAATAACAACAACAAAGTAATTTACATAAAAAACACTTGAAAACAAATTTGTTGTTATTTAAAAACAAAACCAAGACAAAGTTATTGGACTCCGCCATAATCACGAATACAGGAGTAACACAAAAACATAAGACAGTGGTTTCGAAAAGGCCAATTTCAAAGGAAAAATTATAAAAAAAAATATTCCAAATTCCGGAACTTCTAGAAACTCAAATCGCCACTTAGAAGCAGGTATGACCTCTACGGGATTAAAGAAATCATAATAAAGCATAAAAATCATCTCAAGACAATCTTAATTTTCTTAAAAATGTTTGTTGCGCCTATAAGTATGCTTTGCATTTTAGAATATCTGAATTGTGACTTGGTCCTTTGTACGATTTAATTCCTGTTTTTGTTATCAACTTTTATTATTTTTTCTCTCTCTCTCACACCTCCCCACACATTCACAAAACCAAACAAATCTACAACTTATTGTTTGGCTTTCTTGTGGTTGTTTTTGCTGTCACTCTTGACAAGCAAAAAAAATCGGGTAAAGGGTAACTTATCTGTTGAGTTTGTTGTTGTGTTAAGGCATAAGTAAATTTCAGTGTAAAGGTGTGTATGTGTGTGTGCATTTGTGTTCGGCTGTGTGATTGTATTTAAACAGGTCTTTTGTATGATAAGTGCTTAACAGAAGTAAGATGTTATGTTAAGAAAATAAGCAAAACAAATACCTTGATTTCTTTCGTTCTCTACTCCCCTCCCGACCGCACTTCTTACTTTTTCTTCAATGTCTACTTGGCGGTTTATTTGAGTCTTTGTCTTGCCGGGTATTTGAGTGAGAGGGTATGTATGGGTGAAGTTTTTATCTGTCGGCAATTCTTAACTTCATTCACTTGATTTAAGTGCAAATAGCGTTTGTTTGGGGTAATATGAGGGAGTAGAGGGGAGGGGTTATAAGGAACGGAAAAAGGGGCCTTTGAAAGCCATAGTTATAGAAAAAATTTCTATAGATCTTTGGCTCTTGAAGATTTTCCGGTCCTTAGAAAGCTTTGTGAATGTTTTTGTCCTTAGAAGGCTTTGTGAATGTTTTTGGTCTTTAAAAAACCGTGAAACGTTCTAAGACTTCAAGAAAACCTGAAGAAGGTCCTTGGTCCCCAGAAGACCTTGAACATTTTTTCTGTCTTTAAACGAAACTTGGAAGAAAGTCTTCTGTTTATTAAACACCTTGACGGGATCTTTTCCATTGAAAAGACTCATAGAGCGTCTTCTCAGTGGAAAAAAATCCTTCCGATAGTCTCCTCCTTTCGAGGAGTTCGTCAAAGTATTTTCTCCGTTGAGAAGTTCTTCAGAGGGTCTCCTCCGATGGGAAAATCTCCAGCAGTCCTTTCTGATTGAAAACACATTCAGAGGGTTTTCTTAGTTGACGAGGTAATTCTGATGGTCACCTACTTTGAGAAGACCTTCAGAGGGCATTCTCCGTTCAAAAGATATTGATATGATCTTCTCATCAGGAAGACCTTCTGAGGGTCCTCTCCATCAAAAAGACCTTCTGAGGATCTTCTCCATTAAAGAACCCTTATGGGGACCTTCTTCATCAAAAAGACCTTTTGAGGGTCTTCTCCGTCAAGAAGACCTTCTGAGGAATTTCTCCATCAAAAAGACCTTTTGAGAGTCATCTCCCTCAAAAAGACCTTTTGGATGTCTTATCCGTCAACAAGATCTTCTGAGGGTCTTCTCCGTACAGAAGACCTTCTGAAAGTCTTCTCCGTCCAGAAAATCTTTTGAGGGTCTTCTCCGTACAGAAGTCCTTCTGAGGATCTTCTCCTCACAGAAGACCTTCTAAGTGTCTTCTCCGTACAGAAGACCTTCTGGGGGTCGTCTCCATAAAAAAGGTATTCTCTGAGGTATTCTCGTTACTGAAGACTTGTAACGTGTCTTCACGGCATAGAAGACATGTAGAACATCTTCTCGGCATGAAAGACCTGTAGGGGTTCTTCTCGGTATAAAGGGAGTCTTCTCGACATTGAGGACTTTGTACAAAGTGTTCTAGGTAGAGAAGACCTATAGGAAATCTTCTCGGTATAGAACACCTGTATAGGGTCTTCTCGGTATAGAAGACCTGTAGAAAGTCTTCTCGGTATAGAAAACCTGTAGAGACTGATCTTCGCTACAGAAGGCCTGTAGAGGATCTTGTCGTTATAGATGGCCTGCAGAGGGTCTTCTCGGTATAGAAGAATTGTACAAAATCTTCTCGGTATAGAAAACCTGTAGATACAGAATACCTGTAGACGATCTTCTCTTTATAGATGACCTGTAGAGGGTCTTCTCGATATAGAATACCGGTAGAGGGTCTTCTCGGCATGGAAGACCTGTAGAGAGTCTTCTCGGCATGGAAAACCTGTAGAGGGTCTTCTCGCTATAGAAGACCTGTAGAGAGTCTTCTCGCTATAGAAGACCTGTAGAGGATCTTCTCGCTATAGAAGACCTGTAGAGGGTCTTCTCGCTATAGAAGACCTGTAGAGGATCTTCTCGTTATAGATGACCTGTAGAGGGTCTTCTCGGTATAGAAGAGCTGTAGAAAGTCTTCTTGATGTAGAAGACCTGTAGAGGATCTTCTCGTTATAGATGACCTGAAGAGGGTCTTCTCGGCATGGAAGACCTGTAGAGAGTCTTCTCGGCATGGAAAACCTGTAGAGTATCTTCTCGACATAGAAAACCTGTAGAGAATCTTCTCGGTATAAAAGACCTGTAGAGGATCTTCTCGCTATAGAAGACCTGTAGAGAGTCTTCTCGCTATAGAAAACCTGTAAAGTATCTTCTCGGTGTAGAAGATCTTTAAAGAGTCTTCTCAATGTAGCACACCTTTAAAGAGTCTTTTCTACATAGAAGACCTCTAAGGGATATTTTCTACATAGAAGGCTTTTAAGGGTCGTCTTTCTTTTAATTTACGGTTTTTAAGAGATTTCTTCCACCTAGAAGACCTTTGAAGAGTCTTCTCAGTGTAGCAAACCTTTAAAGCGTCTTCTCTACATAGAAGACCTCTAAAGGATATTTTCTACATAGAAGGCTTTTAAGGGTCGTCTTTCTTTTAATTTACGGTTTTTAAGAGATCTCTTCTGCCTAGAAGACCTTTGAAGAGTCCCTCAGGGGAGGGTCTTCTCGTTGTAGAAAACCTGTAAGGGATATTTTCTGTGTAAAAGACCTTTAAGGAGTCTTCTCTACATAGAAGACCTCTAACGGGTATTTTCTACAAAGAAGCCTTTTAAAGGGTCGTCTTTTTTAATTGTCCTTTCAAGAGTCCTTCTCTGGAGGGTCTTCTTGTTATAGAAAACCTGTAAAGATATTTTCGGTGTAGAAGACCTTTAAAGAGTCTTCTCAGTGTAGCAAACCTTTAAAGAGTCTTCTCTACATAGAAGACCTCTAAAAGGTATTTTCTACGTAGAAAGCTTTTAAAGGGTCGTCTTTTTTAATTGGCGGCTTTTAAGAGATCTCTTCCACCTAGAAGACCTTTGAAGAGTCCGTCTGTGGAGGATCTTCTCGCTATAGAAAACCTGTTAAGGGTCTTCTCGTTATAGAAAACCTTTAAATCGTCTTCTCTACATAGAAGACCTCTAAAGGGTATTTTCTACATAGACGGCTTTTAATGGGTTGTCTTTCTTTTAATTGGCGGCTTTTAAGAGATCTCTTCCACCTAGAAAACCTTTGAAGGGTATTCTCTTTCTCAGAGTGGGTCTGTTGGTCCACTATTAATAATTAAGGCCCCTTCGATTGAAATTTAAGACCTCTTCTCCATTTTTACACCTTTCCCATAAAGTTGTTTGGCATGCGAGTACGAATGTCTGTATGTGTTCATACCCAACATACCAAAAAACCAATACAGCTTGAGAATAATATTATAAAAATATAATTTTTCAACAATGCTTGAGAAACACTTATGTTCCACAAACTTTTCTCAAATCTGTCCTTTGTTGACAAATTAGTTTTGATTTTTTGTGAAAATTGTCAGCAAGAAATTATTTTTTTTGATAAAAAAGCAAAATCAAGCGAATTTAGGACACATTTCTGGACCAAATTCTTAAGGTATGGATGAATAATAAATCCGAGAATCTTTGACATATATTATTTCAATCCCATTTCAGATTGGATGCATCAAAAAAGTGGCAGGAATTCAATAAATGTGTAGTCTTAGTGGAAGAGATGCAGAAGCTCAAATAAGGGAGAAGAAAGCGTCAGGTTATCAAGGCCACATGAGGCAGTGACTACTGGGATGTCCATCAAGAAAAAAAATGTGAAAAATGATTAAAAATTAATATTTTGTACTATTACAAAAATAAGCTTTATATAATATTATTTTCGTAAGCTTATTCTACAATTTCAAGTATAAGCTTATTAATAAGGGTTCCGTTTCGATTATTCTATACTTGTTATACAAACATTTTGCAATGTTTTCTCAAGATTTTCTCAAGCTTAAGGCTTATGTTCATAAGCTTATTGTAATATTATTCTCAAGCCATTTTGGTATGTTGGGTAATTTCAATATCACACTCCAACACAAACAAATTCTGGAAAAAAAAAACCGCAGACTCTTGAGGTAGAGATAGTCGCTATCATCCTCGTCGCCGTCCTCGTCTCCATTTTCTTTGGCGTTTGTGGTGTGGCATGACTTTTATGTTTATTTTCTTAACTTTGGCTTTCATATGGTTTTCTCCTTCTTTGTGAAGCTCGTACTCCGTTCCCTTAGCCCGCGACCTCTTACAAATTGTATTAGTAATTTTAATCGCCAAGTGTGTACGAGTGTGTGTGTGTGTGTTGCTGAGTTTTTGGCTGGGTACTTCAAAGTAAACGTATTTTTGTAATCCTTATCTCCTTAAATTGTTTTGCTTTGTGTGTGTGTGTGTGAGTGAGCATTCGCCGTTGTTGTTGCTACTGCCATTATCATTGTCATAATATTGTCATGGAGGCGTGCAAGTGAGTGACATTGTTGTATGTAGATATCAAATGCAGTAACAGCAACAACGACAACAACAAAAAACGTCATCAAATCTTAAGATAAACAAAGCCATGACAAATAAAATGAAGGTAAAGTGAATGAATGGCAGGTCGTTTGGAGAGGTATGCCATACTCGGCTGTTGGTGTGTATGAGAAAGAATGGGTGTGTGAGCATGTGTGCCCGTGGATGTGTCAAAGGATTATAATTGGGTATTTTTGAAAAGATTGTCAAATATTCAAATTAAACTTAAAATCCGGCAATAAATTTAAGAATTTAAGAAAAGAAAATAATTTTTAATAATCCTAAAATAAATTGTCTCGATTTAAGACCTCCTTTGAGTAAAAGGATATTCCTCAAAAAAGAGGATATTAAATATACTTTCTATGTTGGAAGATTTATTCTTATTGAAGAAGACAAAAAAGTGATTCCCACACATACAGGGTGAGATAAAAAACAGCAACCAATTTCAGTCTGATGCCATTTCTAAGCCACTTGTCCGACAGCTGTTAAAATTATTCCAGTGAAAGCTTATTATATTATTTACAAGCGTACAAAAGCATTTTGGTGAGAATTTTCCAGAAAAAAGTTATTCGTGATGGAATTCAAGCGTGATAGTGTGATTTCTTTATAATTGGGTGGAAAACCCTAAGAGGCTATCGTTAGAGCACTCCAGCATTTAAATGTAAATAAATCTTTTGTGTCTCGTACCAACGCTCGTTACCGTGATACTGGCAGCGTAGCCCGACGTCGAGGAAAGGGACGGAAGAAAACAACGACATCAGCAGAAATGGTTCGAAAGTAAAGATGCGACTGGATCAAAACCCGCGTCGCTGTGGCCGAAAAATGGCTTGTGAGCTGAACATATCGTAATATTCCATTACGGCAAATGTTGAAAAATAAGCTCGGGGTAAATCCATTGAAATTTCAAAAACTGCAAGAACTTACACCGCAACAGAAAGAAAATAGGCTCAAAAGAGCTAAAGAGTTGCTTCGCTTGGCCAAAAGTGGTGAACTGCCGAATTTGGTTTTCTCTCCTCCGATGAGAAAACATTCATTGTCCAGCAGTTTGTAAACAAACAAAATGATCGGGTTTACTTGCCAAAGAGGTCAGCTGAAAATGTGCACCTTCGGTTGTCCACCGGAACTCAAGCGCCGGCCATGGTGATGGTGTGGGCCGCCATAACAACCGATGGTCGCTCTCCGCTCGAATTAATCGACCGTGCAATCAGTATTAATGCCGAATATTATGGCGAAAATATTCTGGAAGGTCTATTAAAGCCTTGGGCACGCAGACATTTTGTCCGCAGACCTTGGACATTACTCAGCACGCGCCACCCAAGAATGGTTACAAAATGAGGTTCCTCGCTTCATTTTCAGCTCACAATGGCCACCAAAATCTCCAGATACCAATCCGTTGGACTATTGTGTCTGGAGTATTTTGGAAAGCAAGGTTGGCACTAAAAAATCACCTCAAGCAAGCGCTTCGCCGGAAATGGGCCAAAATATAGCAAAGCTACGGTTGACGGTTTCATTGGTCGTTTGGAGACCATAATTCGTGCCAAAGGTGACCGATTTGAACAAATCTAAATTTATTCTAAAATTTGATTCCATTTCCGACATTTTTTGTTTTCATTTAATAAAATTAAAAAACAAAAATATGGCGTTTGACTTTGTTGCAGATTTTTTTATCTCACCTTGTATGTATCTTTTATTTTGAACAAATCTAAACTTATTCGAAAATTTGATGCTATTTCCGACATTTTTGCTTTCATTGAATAAAATTTAAAAATGAATGCGTTTGACTTTTTTGCAGATTTTTTGTTATCTCACCCTGTATGTATCTTCTATTTCTGCTAGCGCCCTTAGAGAGCAATAAATATAACACTCAATTTCATGTCCTGAATATGTCTTCATATATTGTTTCAGAATTCCCGTAGGAGTTCCGTATATTATTCTAAACTTTTTCAACGAAGATTTTCGATTTTCCATCACCGCTTACGTATAATTGTTGTCGTAACGTATACGCAACATGGTGTACCGTCAATTTCTCAGGCTTTCTTTTTATTTGGTACTATCTCTTCAGAAAAATTGACCATACTGTAGGGGCTACTTTAACAGATTATATATTTAGCCAAAAATTCTCCCCGATGCCGGCAACGTACCTTGGAAACTGCATCTACTTCGTATGTTGTCTGCTGCCTATAATGGCTACGCTGACCCAAAATCCCCAGTGCTATAAATTTGTGTATACTAATATCTTCTTCCAGAATCCCTATCTTATCTCTTATTTCAATTTCAACTTACTGCCATTGGGATATTCTTCTTTCCCACTTCGGTTGCGTATAATTACTGTCGTAACGTATACGCTACCTCACACACAAATAATTTCTCTCTTTTTCAAAATAAACTGTTTACATTTTGTTCGCCTTCATTAAACGCCCTCCAAAATACGAACTCGCTCACAAAGTATTCAAAAAATTAATAAAAAAACTTAACAATTCAGTTTTGTTTTTGACAATAAAACGATTTCGTCTAAACTTTTTAATGAGGCTAAACCGCCGGCGGGACAATGCGCACACACGAACACACAGACACACAACAATCACAGAGTTCAATCACAAATGAAAACTTTTTGAAAGAAAATGAAAACGAACAAATTTTGATATCTAACACACATACACACACATATGTCACACCCATACCCCTGCAAAAGCTTGACAATATGTTTATGAGTTTTTTTTGGCCCATCTAGTACCCAACCTTAAATGGTCCTTAATTTATGGTGATATTTGTCTGAGAGACACATTGTGGTTTCCCCAACACCTCTTTCTCTCTCGCTCTCCTCTGCTTTTTTTATCAATTGTCTGCAGGCCAAACAGACAACATCTACTTATGATGCGTGTCACAACAAAGGCAAAAGGTGGAACTTTTTCTTGAAAGTGTTTTTCTTTTTTTTCGCCCTAACTTTTGATATTTAATTTCAAAAAGCAGATAAAATATGTGGTGGTAGAGAAAAGTTGTTTGTTTTGCGTACACGAAATTAAGAAAGTAGGAAAAACTCTCACGCCTTCTTAATGGCATGTTCTTTTGAGAAGTTTGACGGTTTAATCATAGGTAAGAGATTTACATGTGAGATGACTTTTTGGGAAAGGGCTAGTAGGCAATACTACTACACTTTTCTCAAAAGTAAGGACAATGAGGTTGGCTGTTTGGGCTTCATAGAGGGTTTGGGCTTCATAGAGGGTCCTGTGAAAGCCCAGATATGTTATGCTAAAGTCACAATTCATCACTGTTTTGAATTCTGATGCAAACTTTAACAAATCTCCATTAGAAGCGGCGGATTTTTGTTATTTTCCATGGTACTCAAGTGTGTATGATTATTGTTGTAAATCATACGTCACATATTTACATTTTCTATGGTACTCCAGTGCGTATGATTTTTGTTGTAAATCATACGTTACGTATAACCGATAATTTTGAAAATTCGTACGAAAAGTACTAAAAGGTACAAAATCAAATTTAAATTTTTATTTATTTATTTATTTATTTTTTTTTTTGATGGGTGAGAGCTACCTACAACTTTGAAACTATGCGTTGGCACAGTCGTGTTAAGGGGATATAGATGAGAGCTAGGTCCACTCATATGAGTGATTTCTGAAAATTTCTAATTTAAAGATTCGAAAGCAATGAAATGTACCAAACCCTAAAACACTTAAAACATTGAACTATCGGTGAGGGTTCCTTGTGGAATTTTTGGAAATTCGTACTAAAAGGAACTTTTAGGTACTAAAGACTTTGAAATTTTGCATTGGATCAATATTTGTGTAGATGGGTTAAATAAGCTGAAATTTTTACCAACTCCTACTTTAAGAGTAGGAAAACGACTAAAATGTACCAAATGCTACACACATTTTATTGATAGTTCTCTAAGAGTTAGAACTTGGTTGGAGAAAGGTGGAGTTTTTGAAAATTCGTATTTAAACGCACCAAAAAGTACTTTAAAGATACGAAACCTACTAAAAAGGTACCAAATGATACATACACAGGGCGAGATAAAAAAAACTGCAACAAATTCAAACGTTATAATTTTTACATTTTTCGTAAAAATTTTATTGAATGAAAGGAAAAAATGTCGGAAGTAGCATTAAATTTTAGAATAAGTTAAGATTTGTTCGAATTGATCAACTTTGGCACGAATTATGGCCTTCAAACAGCCAATGAGATCGTCACACGCTGCCGGAATGTTGCACTGCGGTATTTTGGCCCATTCCCGGCGAAGCGCTTGCTTGAGTTGATCGACACTACGTTACCAGTACCAGTATCACGGTAAAGAGCGATGGTACGAGACACAAAAGATTTATTCACATTTAAATGATGGAGTGTTCTA